TATGTTTGTATTTTCTGCTAGTATGTTTCGGATGGAGTTTGGTAAGCTTGTGTGTGTGTTTAAATGGGTTCGAATAGAGCTGTAGTCCGATAGGTGTAACGTAAGATGTCTGGATAGGCATGTTGTCGTGTGACCGATGTAATTATTTATGAATCCGGTTTGATCAGGAACACAGTTCCTTAAGGAGCATTTGAACTCATAGATAATGTTCGTTTGTTGTGATTTTGAATTTGATGGTGTGCTGTTATTTTTGGGGATAAAGTTAGCTGTATTAAATATTTTTGTAGTAGATAATTAATTTGATTTTTTTATTCGGGTCAATAACAAATTAAAATATTAAATTAATTATCTACTACAAAAATATTCAAAACAGCCAACCTTATCCTCAAAAATAACAACACACCATCAAATTCAAAATCACAACGAACGAACATTATCCATGAGTTCAAATGCCCTTAAATGCTCCTGATGAAACTGAATTCATAAATAATTACATCATCACATGACTACATGCCTGTCCATATATATATATATATATATATATATATATATATATATATATATATATATAATATATATATATATATTATAAATTTATATTTATATATAAATATTTATATATATATATATTATATATATATTATTATTTATAAATTATATAAATATTTATAAAATCACTACAAAAATAGCCATTTTGTTTCAACACTCCAGTGTCTTATCAAGTGATGATCTTGAATGTAAAATAAAAACTTTTATTGTGTTATTTTATTTTACATTCAACATCATCACTTGACAAGACACTGGAGGTGTTGAAACAAAATGGCTATTTTTGTAGTGATTTATAACATATTTTTGTCATAATTTTTAGATAAATAATTATATCTGCTCTACTCTGTATTGAGCACTCTTTTAAGAATAGTAATTTTGGTTATTGGAATTTATTCCATATACATCAATCATATACTTGGTTAATTATATATATATATATTCTGTCTCTTAATCTTTGCATATTTTCTCACTGTCTACATTTGCGGCACCTGCTTCTTCAAATATGTTCTTATTCAAAAGTCACCTTTACTTGCTTATTAACCCTTTCCTTTTTTTCGGTCTACGTCTAGGGCAGATTGCGTACTAACATGGGTTATTTTCCTCCAAACATACCCGCTTATAATGCCTGTATTTTTGTCTATCTTTCCTCTTGTTACAGGTAACGCACCAATCCGAGGTTACTGGAATGAAATCCTGATCGCCACTGTCACTTTACAGCTGCTGATCTGCCCTCCTGATCACACGGCTAGGTTCAATCAGGTTGACTTTTGGGTTCAGGACATTTTCCTGTTACTTTTTTTTTTTTTTTTTCAGCCTTCTCATCTCTGTCGGCTTAGGTCAAGTTGGCTTTTGTACATATATATATATATATACATATATTTCACACACACACACACACACACACACATATATATATATATATATATATATATATATATATCCAGAAAAGGCATGGAATATGGAACTAGAACAATCTACCTCCGCGGACTAAATTGAGAGATTTTCGCTCAACAACGCCAAAACATTAACCTGAAAACGCGAGTCCTGCTCTTAAACAGAGTTCTTAAAAAGTTTCATTAGATCCAGACTTTCATAGATATATCATGCATCCATATGCATCATTAAACGGACAGCAGTACTGGCTGCTCGTTCAATTAATGTCAAATGTTTACTTATAAGGAAACGACTAATATTACCATTACCATTGACATGATTTAAGCTTAGTGTGTCTGGTATTCTCATACGGTCTCCCATCTAGATACTGACTAGGCTCGACACTGTTTAACTTCAACTCCATATGCTTGTATCGTATATTTATACGTAATTCCTATTCAATCTACATACTAAGAATAGAATTTCTGCGCTTGTGTGCAATGAAAAGATTTAGACAGTATACCTTAAACATCTAGCTAGACACTGTTGACACTGTTGAAATTCATATGACAAGATGTTCCTCAACACCTTGCTAAGGACAGAAATCTATCCGATCAATTGGGGGGACGGGAGCTGCAGAAAGAAGTGTAGTCCACACACAAAAAATTCTTCGAAAACACCAGAAAACAAATAGAAGAAACGAATAAAGCCCAAAGAAAAGACAGAGCTCTCAATTCCCTAAACCCTCCTACCCTACCATGCAGTGTTTGCGGACGTCTCTTCAGATCCAGCATACGACTCAGAATAAAATGTCAATGAGCACCCCAATAATCGTCAACGAGTTTCACCAACGACAATAGATTTTGTTTGTTACTTTTTCATACCTTTACTTCAAAAATACCAGCCCAGCAATATCGAGGGATTTTATCTTAAAGTCTCGGGAGAACGAGATAACAGCAAAGTTCGAAACGAGAGCGAAAGATTAGTGTTCAACAAGAAACTAAAACTAATGACTAATAAAAAAAAAAGTACTCTTTACGGCTAGTCACAATTTAATGTCGGATAGTAGATAAATTGTGAATCCTGTAAACATTGTGGTGTGAAGATAGCGGACATGTCACATCTAACCACTATTTATTATGCAGAGTTCAATGTTTATTAATAGAGGATTACACTCGATTATTGAATGAGCCTTGAGTATTAAACCTCACGTTTGTACGTAATCGCATTTTGAGGAGACCTGCGCTTTAGAAGCAGTAGGTGAAACTAATTGTGGAGGGGGAAGATGCAAGGCATTCGTGAGCAATACATAGTGAACTGATGTTACCGTTGTTAAAGTAATCAGATTTTTTTTGTGTTTGGTACGGCTATCGATATGCGCTATGGTGTAATGGATATCGTCACAGAATGTGAACTCGGAGAGCCGAATTCGAACCCGAGTTATGTTCTCTTACGCACAAATACCCTTGGGAAATGTATGAATCCATCATTTCTCCTCCCAGCTATGGGTTGAATAGCAGGATAGACTGAGTTCTTTAGAAATGGTAACCTAAAGATACATGTGGCACTAAACTGACTGAATGACGACCATAGTACAAGGCAGCAAATCCGTACAACAAACAGCCAGTAAGGATTGCGCCAATATAAAATATAGGTAACAGGAATCATCCCCGAGAAGAATCTAAAGGGAATTGTTCTAGTCTTATTGAGGCTACATGCCTCGAATGTCTATTGGAGCTAAAGATTATTTAAGGCCTTAAGTGGAATTCGGATATTCTAACTATCGTTATTTACGCTGGAAAATGACAGGTAACGTTGCAGGAAATACCTGGCTTCTTCTGTCATGCTCTATCCTTACAAGAGCCAGATCACATTAAGAAATGAGTATTGTTTGTTGTAACAATAATAGGAGATATCTTCACCTATCGTCCGGTTCACACTCCTCCTCAGTATTGTTTTAGCAAGATAGCGGTTTATCTATTGTTTTTCCTCTTTGTAATTGGGTTTCCGGCTCCTTCTAAAGTCTTCTCATTCTCTTTTCACTCCCATTAGCTCCTTGTGTCTAAGTGGCATTATTGCCTTGCTTAGATTAATTGAAAAAAATATATATATATATATATATATATATATATATATATATATATATATATATATATCGCCTGAAACTGTCCAACACCCATTTTCCAAATTGCACAGTGTTTAAAAGTGAGTGATTAATTATTTTCTATTCAACATCTCCTTTTCCACAAACGAAACGGTGGTAAATGCAAGGTACATTCCTAAGTTAATATAATTCAGATCGGCACAGCAAGGACCAATCAGGCCATACACAGGGTCGACTCATACTCATTTCCTTCATACTTCAGCTTTTACCCACAGAAGTGTTAGATTGTTGAACAAACTATCGAAGGGTCACTTCATCGGGCACTACGATCTGAACCGGGGGTCGACCATTTTCTATCCTACATATCCTCATAATATGTATATTTATCCCTTTCTTAATGCTCATGTAATAACCTCATTCAGTAACCATCTACCTTGAGTGGCTCTTGTGTTTTTTATTGGGCGTAAAATAGTATAAGAAAGGGAAACTGCAGATATAACATCATGAGAACAGTTATCTCGATAATATTAATTCGGTGAAATTGATAGGGAATAAATAAAAAGGTATTACTTTGGAGTAAATTTCTGACATACCCGAGAAATACAAACAGATAGATAGATAGATAGATAGATAGATAGATAGATAGATAGATAGATAGATAATGAAAAGGCTGAGATAGATATGTAATGAAAAGGCTAAGATAGATAGATAGATTTCTAAATAGTGTAGATCAGAAAAATAGAGAGAGAGAAAGGGAGATAAATGTGTGTGTGCATGTGTTTGTGTGTATACATGTGTTAGTGCGAGTGCGTGCATGGATTTATATAATTATGTGCTTTCATGCACGTTAAAGTACATACGCAAATGTGTGTGCGTTTTTATATAGTTCACTATACAACATAAGCATGGTACATTTATATTATATTTATTATCTGCCTTTTTCGATGAACGGGTAAAACCAGAACATACATTCAAACCAAATTGATCCCTCCGGAAGTACATCCGGTTGCCATTAAAATTGGGAATGACTTTTAACAGAGATGTGCATATGGAAACTGACAAATCTTGCACGAAGTTATTTTATTTGTACACAAACCCTAAAATTTTATTTGCACACGAGTCCTCAAATATTCATATTTATTTTGTAAGAAATATATTTCGACAACAGACTGTGAGTTTACAAACTTTCTTTACAACTCTCTTACTGCCATTTTTTTTCTTTCTTTGAAGGTATATACAGTTGCCTCCAACTTATATTCATTTTCGTGTATCGCGTTTTCAAAGATCCGATGTCAGCTCCCAAAATAATCAATTCATAAGTTTTAATTAATAATGGCCTCTAAACGAGAGACGCTGACATTTTTGGAAAATCTGTAAAGGTTTCTACAGGTTAAACGAAAAGATGAAATGTCTCGATGTCAAAAAGTAAGAAATATCGTCCATAAATTTTGCTAAGATGAATAATGAGAACAAATATTCCACCCTTTTGTAACTTTACTACAGAACTAGCACGGTAAACTTAAAAATGACTAGAATATTCAGTTATGAATCGATATATCTGCCAAGGATCAGTTTAGTATCTGTTTTCTGCTAGTGTCAATGTAACGGTCCCTGATCTTCTGCCTTGAATTATTCTAGTATCAACGCTCTGTGAAATGTCTTACACATACGCACGCATACATATATATATATATTGAATTATTCTAGTATCAGCGCTCCCTGAAATGTCTTACACATACATACGGAAGCACAGACAATTCGACGTATGAGGGTCAAGCAGATCAGCTCCTGGGAAACTGACAGCCCATGAGATTTGATTATAGTGGTGAAAGTTTCGTTCAGGACCATCCACACTCTTTGAAGGGCCGAATGCAGAGACCTGGTGCACTACGTGCCACAGGGTCCCCAAATGACTCCCCCACCCCCGCAGGTTTTGAATTCAGAGTTGTCGTTCTCCTAAACCAGTTGCCATCCAAGGCTATAGAATCCAGTCTGTCCTATAGATGGAAGGAGAAGAAGAGAATTCGCACCTTTCCTCACGAAAGTGAATTTAATGGATTCGATTCCTCAATCCAAGCCGCTATCCATTACTCCAACGTGCCTCCATATTTATTTTATATATATATATAATTCATCGAGTCTGAAAGAAACCTCAACAGAATGCACTGGACGGCCGTTTCGTCATATATTTGGGACTCATCAGCAGAGAATTGAAACCCGGACAGTTACATTATCAAGCAAACGACATACCAACTGTTCCAACGGGTGGGTGGGTGGTTATGTATGTATGTATGTATGTATGTATGTATGTATGTACGTGCGTGCGTGTGTATGTGTAAGACATTTCATGGAGCACTGATACTAGAATATATATGACAATAAACCACATTCAGTAGGAAAGTCTTTGATCGGGAGACTGAAGGATTTGATGAGTGTGGAACCACCTCTTAATCGCTGTTCTTCCCAAATTCCCTACCAGGAATCCTGACTTAACACCCTGTGAGTTTTTTTCCTTTGGGGCTGGTTAAATGAGCAAAACTGTGGAAGAACTTGAAAGGCGAATACAAGAAGTTATGCCTTCCATACCACAGGTGCTCCTGGTGAAATCAGTTGACACGATTCCTTGGGATTGAGAAGCTGGCAGCGAAATCTGGTGCCCATATTGAATTTTAAATAAAACCTTATTCGAAATGCTTTTCTCTAATAGCCATTTCTTGTAAAATTATAGTTAAAAAATAAATTATAAGTATTTTAAAAAGGGAAGTTACTTTTCAGTCACTCTGTATGTGTTTGCGTAAACAAATTAAGATAAAAATATTTCTGTAAAAGGACAATATGATCAAAACCAAAAGGAAAACTTATCGTAGCCGATGCGTTTGTAAGGGTTTTATTTTGCGACAAGTATTTGTGTTCTGAGTTCAAAACCTGGCCACAGCAGAGATGAACAAAAACATGAAGAGTTGAGTTACTAAAGGTAGATAACTGAAACTGAGACATCCAGAAAGGACGTGGCACTCGAAACTACTACAATCAAACCTCGTGGACTAAATAAAGTGTTTGGTTCGAAATTCCAACTTTTATCACCTGAAGAAGGACAGAACATACAACGGCCGAATCATCGTGAATATGACAATAAAGATGCGAACAACAGTCCGAACAAGTTAAATAGTTACAATGCCTCATCTCAGAAATAGTCACACACACACACACACATACATATATATATATATATGTAGATAGGTGTGTGTGTCATTTTTTTTATATCAGAACATTATTAGCTAAATTAATGACAAAGAGGAAAAATCTTTTGTGTGACTTATTTCAAGCTTTAGGGCTTCATCTGTCTACGTTGTTGTAGTGTATCCAACATAAATATTATTTTTACCGTAGGAGATAAAATCTCTCAGAGAAAAAAGATGCTGGTTGTCTGCAACACGTAAGTGGGCGGGTGTTGTGGTAGGATCCACCTAATTTGCATAGTGGAGTACTGACCATATAAATATGGTTGGTACCGGGAAGAGAGGGAGGAATCAAGAGATTCAACCAGAGACTCTGCCCGACTGCGACTCAGTCAACACATTCTCCAGGAACGGTCTTACCAGGAATATACAAAAGACTATATGTAAATATTGTGTACACTTTCTTGTTTCAATACATTTTGTTCTAAGTACATTTTGTGTTGCATTATTATTCCATGCATTAGTCAAGTTTCAACAGCGGGGAAGAGTAATTACAAATGATTGCATTAGATATAGTAGATTTAGTGTAGTATATAATTAATTTTATTTTTTTACGTGGTCTCGGCAGCTAAGTTTTCATTTAAATAATATGTCCATTATTTCTAAACATTTACAACAACATACCTGTCCACATTCGCAACTTAGAAAAATCCTTGTTGAAAACACCTCTATACTTTTCCAAGAAAAGAATAAACACAAAAATTCTTGAAGCTATTCATATCAAAAAATTGAAACTAAACCTTAAGAAAATTAATTATAAATACTCCACAAGTGTTTTAAAAAGTGTACAATAAATAGTTTGAAATGCCAAGGTTTGTGCTAATCATTTCTCTTTTTACTACTCATTTCGTAAAAAAAAAAAAAACTCGTCACACCATACTTAATTAACTCTCCTTAAACGATTTCAGCGGTCACACACTGACACGCCGATCCTTACTCCAAATGTAAGAAATTTAACTTTCAGATAAACACAACAATTTTGGTTTTGACAATAAGGAACATTACAATATTTTATTTTGTAATATCCTGATGATGACATTGTGCTATGTCGAAAGTACTCAGAAATAAAAGGAATATGTATCAACAAGGCGATTTTATCTCGTTCTTCAATTACGACGCCAAAAAGCGTACCCACGAATATGAAAGGATCCTATTGAAAATAAGTAGACAGAACATGTCTAAATTATTCAACGAAACCTGTCCCAATGAAAACATGCTGCCAAAACACACACACACACACACACACACATATATATATAGATAGATAGATAGATAGATAGATAGATAGATAGATATCAAATCCGTAAGTAAAAAGGATAATCCAAGTAGGCCTTTTTAATATTAAATATTAAAAAGATAGATTCATAAAGAGAGCTCAATGTGTAGTATTGAGAGCAATAAATCTTGTTTTGTGTTTTCGATGATGAGTTACGTTTTTCCATTATATATATATATATATATATATATATATATATATATATATATCATCATTATCACCCCCTTTACTTTTGTAATCGTAGGGCGGATCCGAATGCAGAAACCACACAACCCTCTATCAACGGCAGCCATCAGCATCAACAATTCTGGTAGTCATACCTGCCCAAACATTGTCCAACCATTTTTTGCGTTAGCGTCCTCTCCTACGTCCTCTCTTCGCAGATGCGAATTGAGTCACTGTCGGTCACTGGGCGTGTTTCTAAAAATAAATACGCTAAAAAATTCACTTTCATTCGGCTTAATGGTTAGAATTTCCGACCGACACCAATTCAGTCGGGTTTCGAACCTAGCTAGAGGCAACCGGATGTCTAGCCACACTGATGATCTGTGAAACAGCGAAACAGTCTGTCTGTGGATAAGGCTTATATATATATATATATATATATATATATATATATATATATAGTATTTATTAACAAATTATAACATAATCATGTTATAACATCAATACAAAAATCGCCATTTTGTTTCAACACTTCTGGTGTCTTGTCAAGTGATGGTGTTGATTGCAGAATAAAGAGTTTTTAAAAGTCCAAAAACAACCAAACGCCACTATTGAAAACATTGTTACGTAAACTACAATGACTAATCGAAATACAAGTATATGATAATTCAAAAAACTTGTTAGATACAATTTATTAATGCTTTAATGTTAATGTTAGTGTAAATTAGAAATCATTCTGATTAATTTTTAATTTTACTATAAAGTTAAAAAATAAAAATTACAAATTTTAAATTTAACCTTGCATTAAGTTTAAAATGTTATAAAATTATTCGAAGGAACGGAGGAAAATATCCATATATTTTTTTATTTATTGTTTTAATCGAAAAGCCAAATTTTCAGAGCAAACGCTAATCTGGGGAGATTCAAACATCGTAACAACTTAGATACCATTGAATGGATCTGAATTCAGATGATGTGGGCATAGGAAGAAGTTTTACAAATGACAATACAGACACAATTACATCCTAATACACAAATATTTAAATATATAAACACGCAAAAACGTGGATGACACAGGAAACCCACGCCAAAGAAAATATCAGACATATACATATATATACACTTAAAAACATATGCAAACAGTCACACACACACACATACTAATAAAGACATAAACAGACTTACCAAGATTCAAGCCTAAAAGTATTAATAAGCGAGTACAAACCAACTATCAAAATTTTACATACATGGGCAAAGATATATAGAAAAAAAAGGGCTTAATTGATGACAGTTACGAATTTGAAAAACAAATATTCGGCTATGAACAAAGCAAAGAAAAAAGACAAGCATATGCATACAAATAAACAAATCCTACATATACGCATACACATATTTAAAAAAAATCTAACAGCCAAATTCGCATATCCAAACAAAATACAACACGGAAAAAAAGAACCAGTATATACACAGAAATGAAAACACATTTACACACATATATAGATGTACCCATATATATAACAATATATGTATGAATATATACACGGACACACATATGTAAATATATTCATAAATACATGCATGCACAAACATATATAGAGATATATACATATACACATATTTACACATACATTTAAATGTAAACAAACATATCAGCCCACATATAAAAACACACAAATAAACCAACACTCAAACACACATGTGCAGACACAATTATCTAAGTGTGTACCACCATATAAACAGAAGTAGACATACATACTTACTAAAAAACATGAATTTAGAAAACATTCCAAATTAATGGATAACGAATCACAACGATATTTAGTCACCTCCCCCCACGAGGGCATCATGTGGCACAAGGCCAGTTTAACGTGGGATCTCCGAGCCCGTGGGATCTCCGAGCCCGTGGGATCTCCGAGCCCGTGGGCTCGGCCAAAAATATGTCCTTTGAACCCGTATAAACGGGTTCAGGGTCGGTTTACCTCCCCGAAAGAGAATCCGCCCTTCGGCGTAGCCTCTTTCGGGTTCCTCCCCGTCCGAAGGCAGAGAGTTCAACCGATCAGCCAGTCATCTGGTTGACCAACTCGACTAACGAATCACAATTGTTTAGTATTAAGTCAACGAGCTATTCTAAATTAAATCGCTAACAAACAAGTGTAGATTATAGTTAGCATAGATAATCCATTTAAAAACACTATATATATAAATATATGTGCATATACATATAAACATACACATACCATATATCCATATATAAACACATATATACACAAATATATAAATACATATACAGACATTATATATATATATATATATATATATATATATATATATATATAAAGGGTGTTTCATTAAGACGAATTATATGTAAGGGTGTTTTATTAAGACGGGTCAAAGTTAGCAGTAAAGAAATCAGTGTTATTAGTAAAAATTTATTTCTCTATTGGATCAAGTTATTTAAGACATGGCAATTATGTGTGAAATATAATATCGCCCAAATCCGAGAGAAAATGAAAAAATCATTAGACGCTTAAAATTAATTCACATTTAAATTCGCTCCAAATTATTGGAACACACTTTATACACACACACAAACAAACAAACAACTATATATACATATACATATATGTGTGCATGGATACAAATAGATAGAAGGACTATTAAATAATTGAAGTAATAACAATCTAAACTTACAATATTACATTGTTGTTGAAAATATTACTACCCATTTTGTAAGTTAAATTTTGAGCTATGTTTACAATTGACAGTGAGTTAATTCCTTTGATTTAAGAGATCGACCTTGTCTTTAAATCTAATCATCTTCAATTTTTCGTTAAGACATAGATAACAAAGGGCATATAGAGAATTGCACGCTCGAACTCTCTTAATTAATTTCCATTTAACAGTAGGTGTTTTGTTTTTTCTTTTAAACTCCAAACATACTTGGACAACGAAGTCTTGTATTTATGATTATTATTGTTGAAAGATTGTACATGTCGATACTAACGGTTTTTGAACGTATTCATAGCACTTCAAATGTATCTTTTTTTTTAATATTGGGGTTTTCAAGTGTAGGAATAGTACTGAGATAAACTAGAGAACTAGCTAAACAATTATTCTGCAGTGGGCAATTATTGAGATTATTCCAATTACACATGTTATTATTGCTATATAGTGTTATTATACTTAGTCTTACTCACTGTAACATTGCAATAAGTTTTTTGAGTTTTTGTTATTATGTTTTTTAATTATTTTTTCAGGTTATCAGCACAATTTAAGTGTATTATAATTGAATATTTTACTGAGTGAATTGGTTTTGAGAAAATGTTTTTGATAAGATGTAGAAATCTCATGGGTCCTTACCTATAACTACAGAATGAACTCTTCCTAACACTATGTATGCTACGCCTCTCAAGAGAGAGGGACGAATCGAGTCGAGCCGATAGTAGTTCACTCCAAACCAGTCATACTAACACCTTCCACATCTTGTATTATTATTTCGTGTAATATATCTTCGTTATTTTCTACTCTTGTGTTCGTGTTGTTCTTCCTTGGTCCTAACCTGGACCATAACAGTTGAAATGGGGAGTAAACCAGATGATCATCCTAGATCCTTATTGTGGTCATAAAAAATAGGATTTCTATATTCAATAGTGGTATCTTTATAACCGCTATTTCTAAGGAAAGAATTATAAAATTCACTATGTTTATTAAAAACCTCTTTGCTAGAAGAGTTAGCACTGATTCGAAATTCTATGGTGGAGGACATGTGCTTAATAACAGGTGGTTGGAATTAAGATGTACATATAATGGGTTAGAATTAACCTTCATATAAGGCTGAAGAGAACTATCATCAAGGTCTAGGCTGACATCTAGAAAGTCTACTTGTTTAATGTTGGTCATAACTTTAGTCTTAAGACCTAAATCCTTTAACCGCCGATGGATCATTTTTCTAATACGATCTACCTTAAATTTTGTAGCGTCATTAGCTACTAATAAGATATCATCTCTATATAATCCGATTCTGTCAGAATCTAGGCAATGAGGAGCACTTAAATTGTATAAAAGAAATGATTTCAACAAGTCAGAGGTTTCAGCAGAATCTAAGGAACCCATTGAGATGTCAAAATTATCGCCGGAAATCTTTTTTGTCCATTGTTCTTCGGCGTAAATCAGAACAGACCCTTTACATTTCAAAATGATATCCAGTTCATTATCAGATATGTTTGAGTATTCCTGAGCGAACTCTAAGGCCAAAGTAAATAGTGTTTTTGGTTATTGGAATTTGATTCTGTCTATACCATTCTTATACTTGTATATATATATATATATATATATATATATATATATATATATATATATCGCACATAGAGTGCTGACTTTAATATAACAGTGTGCGATGTAATTAAATGAGGTATTAAGTATATATTACAAATATACATATTATCCCACACCGGTAGCACGGCTCGGCGTTTCATGCCCAACGCAATCTTCAGGTGCTGGGTAGAAAATGACTTATACATAATTTTAATTATTACAAAAATATCCGGTTAACGCAATGCTGACACAGTACATATATTATACGGTCATTATAGTTTTTTTTTTAAATATATGTTTCATTTAAAATAGATTAATATTTTATTTTATATTTAAATAAACAGAGATTAATGGTATTTATTACAAAAAAAAATGATATAAAATATTTAAAAAATGATATAAAAAATTATATTAAAATATCAAACATTATATTAAAAATTATATTTTAATAAAACTATATGAAAAAATAACTAAAGACACATGGCACAGTGAATAAAGGCGTTGGTATAGATCCAGTGACAGGACCCAAAGAGTGTGAGTTCAATACCCGGTTAAGGCAGTGGTCTGGAGAACTTTCAGATGGAAATTAGCAGGAGATAACTGATAACTGACATCCATCAAACATGGCACGTGGAACTAGAACAGTCTATTCCAATGAGCGAAATAAAGGGTTCACTTCGAAATTCCAATCACCTGAAGAAGGCCGGAACGTTGTGATAAATATGGCGACAAAGATGAGGACAATAGTTCGAATAATGTAAATAATGTACATAATACCTCATCTCAGAAATATAGACAGACTCTAAAAATTAGATATACACACACACACACATATATATATATATATATATATATATATATATATATATATATATATATATTTATGAATAAAAATGACAATAGGAAAACTGGTAATTGCTGACGCGTTTCGTCCAATGTGGACTTTATCAAAGCAAAATACGAAAATGAAACGCGTCAGCAATTACCAGTTTTCCTATTGTCATTTTTTTATTCATAAATATTGTCTTCTCTACTGGTTAAGTCAGAGAAATTTTCATATATATATATATATATATATATATATATATATATATATATATATATATATATATATATATATATACTTCGTTTTTGAGTCATTAAGACGCTGTTAAATGTACGATCTAAGACAATCCAAAATACTTTTACAAATTTTGGAGGCGGGCTCCTGTCACCAAAAACAAGGTAAAATGTCTATATAAACATATGTCCAAAAGGCCATCGTTGTACCTCCACGCAGCAAATCGTAAGAAATGTTCAAAATGTCCTCCGCTTGCTTCTATACACGCATACACCCGTCGAATTATTGACTGGCGAACCCTCTCAAATTTCTCCCACATCGTGTCGAATGGTTTCGCTGGCCGATGTGACGCCTTTATGAAGCGTCTCTGCATTATTAATGTCTGCTGCATAAGCCAGTTTTAGGTGGCCTCACAGAAAAAAAAATCCAAAAGATTGAGGTCGGGGGAGAGCGCAGGCCATGAAACTGGCCTTCCCCTAACTATCCATCTTTCAAGTTAGATGTCAGCCGGTGCATCGCGAACAATGTAACTAGAGTGTACTGGAGCCTCATCATGCATGATCCACATGCATCTTCGTATTAGCAGGAGTACATCCTCTAGCAGGTTTGTAAGTGTGTTCGAAATAAAGTCCTTGTAGACAACTCATGTAAGACGTACTGGAAGAACATATGAACCTACCAGACAGTCACCTATAATTCCAGCCCGCACATGAATCGTAAACTGATGCTGGTATCTAGCTTGTATTGTACCATGGAGATTCCTAACGGTCCACAAATGTTGTTTGTGCAAATTTTTTATTCCTTCTCTTCTAAATGTTGTCTCTTGCGTAAGCAAGAATGAAGAGACAAACAACGGATCGACAGTTTGTGCAATAAACCATCGGTAAAAGTACTCCCGTGGTGAGCGATCAGAGGGTGAAAGACCCTGCACACATTGCAAATAATACGGAGACAGGAGTTGCTCATGAAGTACCATCCATGTGGTACAATAATATGTACAACATGCTAGTGCTACTTGACGTATGCTGATGCCTGGATCATCTCTAACTGCCTGTACAATGTGTTCTTCGTGGTTAGGCGTATGAACGGATATCGGCCTTCTTCAATCAATAGTTTGTGGTGCCACAGATCATGTCTCAGCAACATGACAATAAATAGCAACAAATGTTGGATGACTCGGCTGCCTTTGGTCTGGAAGCGCAATGTGACACAGCCTGCAGCTTCGAGACCATTATCATTCGCGCCGCCATATGAAAAAATCATATTTTGCCTGCTCACGATATAAATATCCTGCCATTGTTAAACGGAACACTTCTCAATTAAAACACTACTACATACTTTAAAAGTTGAAAACAGACTAGCCACAAATGTACACGAATGACAAATGTAACCTAGTCCTAATGTCAACACAATGCCATCTACCGTAAACTTACTTTAAACTTAATAATTCAAAAACGAAAGATTTGCAAACATATGAATCTAATGTGCATGAAACATAATTGACCAACGGAAATCAAACAACGGAAAAATAAAAATACCATAATTTCTTTCATCTGTTTCTCCAAATCTCATTCTCTGATGAAGCTTTAATAAAAGTGAAACATGTTAAGATTGTTGAACGTTTCTTATTTGTTCTTTATTTTATCATATATATATATATATGTGTGTGTGTGTGTGTTACTGTGTGTGTGTGTGTGTATATATATATATATATATATATAGATAGATAGATAGATAGATAGATAGATAGATAGATAGATAGATAATGCAGTCTCTTCCAGAAACCGAAGTTAAGGTCTGCTCAGTAGAGTTGCATAATAAGCCACAGGTGGGCTCTGTAGGTGTTAAACAAACACAAATGTGCCTGAGTAGGCGTCTGGAACAGGGATTAGCTAGCCGCCCTACTAGACGGGCATCCTCGGATACGAGTGGCCAGGCATTATATATATATATATATATATATATATATATATATATATATATGTGTGTGTGTGTGTGTGTGTGTGTGTGTGTGTGTGTGTGTGTGTGAAGAGGTTTTACTGCGGCTGTTTTTGTTGATATCGCCTACAGTAAATGCAATGGTATATAATTTATTTTCTTGTGGTTATTTATTTTCATATATATATATATATATATATATATATATATATATATATATATTATTATTATTATTATTATTTTACCCTGTACTTGTTAAGAGTTTTATGTATTATTTTGTATAGGCGAATATCATTCAAAAACCTCTACTCAAAAAATTATTCAATTTTAACAAGAATCCCACCCATATTTTCACGTTAGTTTTTTTTTCTATATTCTCTTTCCTTTCCCCATCTACGACTCAGTCTTTCCCAAAATCTTATATTATTACTATTATTATTATTTTTATTATTATTATTATTATTATTATTATTATTATTATTATTATATTCGCTTCAATTTTTTTTCCTATTTACGGGGCAAACGAATAAGCTAAAGATACCAGGGTCCTCTTTCGGTGTGTTGTCTACGAGATATTCTACTTTGTGAGAATAAATAAATAAAATCGGTCATGATCGCCGCAGGAGAAACAACTTAACCGACAATGAAAGATAATTGTGTGAAAATGAAGAGACACTTTCGGATAAGTACCTCATTTGAATGATCCAACAGGGAAGCGGGCCACAAATCGCAAAAGGGGAAAATTCAATCAATAAAAATGGAGCCACTACTGTGTGTGTGAGAGAGAGTGAGAGAAAGAGAGAGGGAGAGAGAAGAAACGCCCCACACCGGAGGGGAAGTTTTCGTGTGTTGCTCCATAATAAAAACAAAAAATGTATTCCTCAAACCATCGATGCATCGATTGTCTGAAAAAGAAAAAAGACTCTTAGTGCTTGATATGTTTATGCATAGATAAGTAATGAAATAGTTTCAGACCCCCCTATATATATATATATATATATATATATATATATATATATATATATATAGAGAGAGAGAGATAGATAGATAGATAGATAGATAGATAGATAGATAGTGAGTTCTATCCTCACTCAGTGACCCATACTTTCAGCCTTGTGTCACACCAATGCTGTGTTAGAAAATCACAATATACATATATATATATATATATATATATATATATATATATATATATATATATATATATATATATATATGTATGTATGTATGTATGTATGTATATAGTGACATTATTGTATGTTTATATCAGGCTCTAGCGCATCAGTCAATTATGTGCCATGCGTGATACACGCTTAGCCGATCATGAATGTTTGGATGCATGACTGACGGGGCAGATTTTTTTTCCCGCAGTAGGTTGCCATTTCTTTCTGCGGTAGACCAGTTGCCATTCAAGGCTATAGAATCCGGTCTGTCCTGCTATTCACACATAGCTGGCGGAAGAAGTAGACGATTCATACCTTTTCCCAAAGGTATTAGCACGGAAGTAAATGTAAATGATTGTACTGGTTTTCGGCGTGAAAAGTTGGTTCAGAGTGCTGACTTCAAATTCTGGTATACAGGTCTTCGACTTACGTCCTATGCACATGCGTTTAATATGATAGTTTGCATTTGTATTGGGTAGGTGCATAATTATTAGGCGTTTTTTAAACAATATTTATTATGAAAAAAGAAACATAACAATTCAAGAACAACATTTATAAATGATTATTCTGGGGCATATGATTATCGACACGCATTTTTATAACATGAAAATAAAATAAGATTTTTATTAAAAAATCGTAAACGAAACAGCAAATTTTATTAACAAATAACTCGCCTACAAAAACGCCTGATAATTATGCACCGACCTAATATGTAGTTTGGTATTTTTTTCAATTAAACTATTTTGTTTTGTATTTTTTTGTTTTTTGTTTTGATTTTTTGCACCAGTATTTTGTTTTCTTGAATGTTTAGCAAATATTTAATCAACGATACTGTTGTGGGCAGTGTTTGACTTAAACCTGACGAACGTATAAATATGGAACAACGCAATGTGGAGAGAGATTATACAAATTCTATCAAAGTAAACAAAACATCCACGTAAAATAAGTACAATAATGCTTAATGAACGATAAAAATAAAATTGCAAAATTAATTACAGGCCAGCTTAAAATCAGATCGATTTCCGACCTGTTGGTCGTAACCAATCGTGGTCGTAAGTCCATTATGACCTATAAATTTATTTTAGGAAAATCTATGTTAGAGAGGAAAAAACTATTTCATTTGACGCGTCCTCTGAACTTCATTGGACTAAAGAGTGGTCTACGTTGATGTGATTATACATGCGCACTGTAGTCTTCCACTGTGTGCTTGTCAAACTCTCTGCTTCCGGCCAGAGCGGAACCCAGACGAGGCTATGTCGAAGGGCTATGTCTGGTCTGGGGATTGTAGACAGCTACCCGATCCCGTGTATACGGTATTTACGGGGAATTTTGCCCGGGCCAGCGGGCCCGGTTCACCCCACATTAAGTTCGGCTTGGTGTTACATTTGACCGCGTGGGTAGGTTAGTAAATATCTAATGCGCACGAAGGAGAGGGGATGCTGGCATTACGAACATGTCTGTGTGCGTGCGTGTGTGTGTGTTGTGTATATGTGTGTGTGTGTGCGCATGTAGTAGTAGTTATCAGTGTGGAAATTTGTATCAGCATGCCGAGTTCAAATTTCGTTAAAGATCGACGCACTCACTTTCGCACAATACCTTGGAAAAGGTGTGTATAATTTTCTTCTACCACTAATCCCCAGCTCTGGGCTACATATGAATGTTAGATATATAAATGTGTAAGATAGATTCTGGCAAGAAAGATCGTCTTGGACGACACAGTGAACCAACTTTCCTAGCGGCAATTGATTCAATATAATCATTCCACTTCATGTCAGCGGCAAACGTTAGCCCGAAAAGGCGCAACGAGCCACTCAAGAATAAACATAAACAATATATATAATTTGCGTTACTTCTTGGAGAAATGTTCTTTTTTTTTTTATCGAAGATCGAGGGTTTTCAGATATAAACAGTTTTGATATAGGAATCAAAACCGTTCGTTTCACGAGTCAAGAGATCTTTGAACAGTCTACCCCAGCGAGCGAAATAAAGGGTTCAGTTCGACATTCCAACCACCCGAAGACTCTTTTCTTACAATATTTCCTATTTTTATTAACCAATATATATATATATATATATATATATATATATATATATATATATATATATATAGGTATTAATCCGTTGGCATAATCCAGGCGAGTCCTACTAACACAACATAGAATTTGAAATTGACTGACAAAAGAGCGCTCATAGATACATGTTGGCTAGCATAAAAGGCCAGTGTAGCTGTTAGCGTTTAATTGGGAGGGGGAATCAGGGGTTGATCTCCCATGATTGGGACCACGTTTTATCTAGTTATTTTAATAGGATCCACTCGTAATTATGGACAAGTTTCTTAATATACTACTTAAAGGAAGAAAGAAAATGCATATTCATTTTATCCCGAGTACTTTTGACATAAGCTCAACAGAGAAAAACAAGACGCTGATGACACATTGTGCTAATCCCGAAAGTAATCGAAATAAAATGAATATGCGTCAACATAGTAATTTTCTTTCTTTCTTTAATAAGGATACTAAATTATTTAATGAGGCATGTTTTAATGAAAGCATACAGCCAAAAGATACGCAATATATATACACCCTTGTGCAGATTTATTGAAACAAGCGCTTTAGTTTCCTTTCTTTCACTACACGGTCAGTTTTAGACCCACTGGAATAACAGGGTATAATCGATTTCTATTTTTTTTTTTCCTCAGATTAAGTCATTTCCTGTGATGTGCAGTAATATGAATCTATTTTCGGGGTGTATGAAGAAATTTGTTTGGCCTTCAAAAATATTGCGTCATTCGTGATTGCCTCAGATTTTTATGACGCCCAGACACTATTGTCTCGACTGTCAATTAGTTGTCCTACGGCGATTGTCTGCAATAGACGTTACTCCAAGGAAGAGTACGAAAATTGTAACGCTGCACAAACACACTGCAAAAATAGTGACGTAATAATGTCGTTTTTTGACGTATTTTTTAACGTTAAAAAACGACATTCTTACGTCATTATTTTTGCACCAACCTAATACTATAGACTGGCCCGGAAACTCTCCTGATTTAAATCTGGTAAATCTGCGAGGAATGATTTCGGAGTATAGTCATACGGAGTACTAACATGTGAACTAGTTCATGTTTCATTGGAAAAATGCGAAAAAAAAATGCGATTAATAACGGAATTATTCGTATTGCTTCAATTAATTTGCACAAGGTCGTATATCTACATACAGATATATATGTATTCATAGGTGTGTGTATATATATATATATATATATATATATATATATATATATATGTGTGTATTTGTATATATATATATACATACATATGTATATATATATATATACATACACACACACACACACATAGATAGATAGATAGATAGATAGATAGATAGATAGATATAGATAGATAGATGTGTATGTATGTATGTATTATTTTATGTATTATGTTTATTTATTTTACTTTCAATCCTTTCAATTTCACGAATTAACTTTAATTAAATTTAATTAATTATATAATTAATTTTATATCTTTACTTGGATCAGTGGGGAATATATTAGTGTTTATGAGTCTTTTTTGAATTGTTCATAGCGGTGAAAAATATTTCAAAATTACGGTGTTAATGCATAACACATCCATAGATATGCAAACCCTGAAGATGGTCTCAGATGAGATCGAAAATACTTGGAAAAACAAAAATTATTTGAAAGGAAATTTTAGAATTTTTCTTACTCAATTCTCTACGCCCACCAAGAAATTAATTCATGGACTTGAAAGGATTAAAACTAAAATAAATAGACATAATACGTCTATATTATTTAACCAAACATACTGGAATCTGCTGGCAATATATATATATATATATATATATATATATATATATATATATATATATATATAACTAACTATGTCTCGAAAAACCTTCGAATTTTTGATTTGCCAATAATCAAATCAATCTCTAAGGAAAAAAGGTTTTAAAAAAGAAAGAGCCAGGAACATGAAAGTCTGTCGAAAAAATCGCACAGATACAGGTTCAAAGCCCAAAAGAAAAAACCCGATACGAGTAAACAATTAACTAAAAGAGCTCAATACAACCGTAGAGCAGACCTACTATATATATATATATATATATATATATATATATATATATATATATATATATATATATATATATATATGTCTACTATTTATATACAGTGAAACTGAAGCAGATATAAGGACAGGATAACACCCTTAGTTAAATCAAATCAGCTGCAAAACCAAATTTTACACATTGCCAATACAATGTATTTTCGACAGCCATAAACAATAGCATCCATAAAACGCTGTTAAATTTGGCTTCTCATACTTATCGTTCTCGCCATTATTGATATGACTCTTCTGCAATACGAACAACTTTCTCCACTGACATCTTGACCCATTATAATAATCTTGGAAGCATTACTTTCGAAGCTACACTCGTATATACATGGAGCTGCTGGGAAATTCTGTTCCCAGAATATGACAGTTATTTTGTCACTGTAGCCGGAAAGCGTGTTCTTTTATCTTGTAAAGTGCCAATTTGAATCTGTTTCAGATCATTGAATTAACCATGTCAACGGAAAGCGCGGACATTTCTTCAAGTGTTGAAATCCAGGCCATTAAGAATTTCCTGTTTCTTTCTGAAGAAAATTGCCCGTCATACTCAGCTGTGAAGAAGTGATTTGCCAATTTCTGGCGCGGAGATTTTGAGGTCCATGATGCAGCAGGGTCTTGGACACCTTCAGCGGTATCTTGAAATTGCTGATCATTTTCATAACTTAATTTTGGCCAATCGACAAGTCTCAGTTGATGAGACCCCTAGAGATATTACGGGAGACGCATTGGGTTTATAATTCTTGTCTGTGCAGAAGATGTCAGACAAGTGTTTTCTTCTTTTTCTCTTTTTAATCATTTCACTACAAATAAGGCGATAATGCCACTAAGATGCAATTGGGGGTTACTGGGAGTGGAAGAGAAAAAAAAACTTTAGTAAAAAAAAGGAGAGAAAAATAACAGAATTTAGGAAGATTTAAGATGGCAATTAACACTGCATTTAAATTTTTGAAGACTGTAGGTGGCAGAGAAGCGAGAATTTGGAAAAGTTCCACTAGAGATAAGTGAAGAGAAGAAACTATTAAAAGAGAACTTACGGTTAGATCTAGCTATTTCAACAATGAGACAAAGAGACATAGCACCCAATCCACTACACTTGATAGCGTTTCTGAGTGTCATTCTATGTTTTAATTATCATAGAGAACTTTTGCTCTCATTCAGTATGGCTGATGCGAAACTACAGGAGAGCTACCTATTGCGGTTTCTTTGTCTCACGTTTTCTACTGATATGAAGTGGAGTGTTTATATCGAATCGGTTGCTAGGTTTGCTGCTAATGAGGTCTCGTTTACTGTGTCATGTCAAGCAGCTTTTCTCGTCGGAATCCATCATGCCTTTCACAAGGAATTTAAGCTCACTGAGGAATCCATAACAAAGTATCAAGTATACAGATTGATTCGTAAGAAATCGAGATTTATGCAGTTCGTAACTGTGGGGAAAATTGTGAAAATGGCTTACCTCGGAAACGCGTTCGAATCTGCGCAGTATGCAAACTCTGGTCCTTCCAACGGTAAAAGAAAAACCAAAATGGCGGCGCCCACGTTTTATGCCGGGCGGTCTCGATTAGTTAACGCGAAATCTCGTTGTCTCATCATTCGCATGCAAATCGTGGTCGGTCCGCGGCTGTATAAAGCAGGCTCGTTTTTGCTGTTTGAGCAGAGGGCTTTCAGCTCGTGAGAAGGTTGGACGTGCGACACCGGGTTTCTTTGTGCCTACCTGTTATCATCAGTTGAATTGTTGCGTTACTCACTACAAAAATCAAGAATCAAACTTACTGATAAAATCGTAACAAATTGAGAATCAATCTCCATCAATTCAAAATAGATCATGAATCAAATAAATAAATCAATAATCAGTCCCACTAATCAACTTGTAACAAATCAAGAACCAAAAATATAAGACCATGAAAAAAATGAACAATATATATATATATATATATATATATATATTTCTTAAAAAGTTAATTGAGATTTATTAACTTTTAAGGGCCTATGTGGTTCAAAAATAAAAGCACACCTGTATAAAATGTGAGAAAGGGGAGTTTCAGTCCCTACTAAAAGGTAACATTTCTTTAATTGTATCTTTTGACACATTAAAACGTTAATTTCAATGCTTAAACAAGAAAATAGTGTTATTTATACAAGCATGGATGCCCACCAAAATGATATATATATATATATATATATATATATATATATATATATATATATATACCCCGACTCTCCCGTTGAATTCGACGTATGAGGGTCAAACAGATCAGTTCCTAGGGAACTAACAGCCCGCAACCAGCATATAAATTTTTTGATTATAGTAGTGAAGGTTTTGTGCAGAACCATCCATTTCTTGAAGGGAAGAATACAGAGACTTAGTGCACTACGTGCCACGGGGTCCCCAAACGACCCTCCGCAGGTTTTTGAATTCAGAGTTGTCCTTCTCCTAGACTAGTTGCCATCCAAAGTGATAAAACTCAGTCTGTCCTGCTCTTTACCCATAGAGGGAGGGTGAAGAAGATTCACACATTTCCCAAGGGTATTAGCGCGTAAGTGAATGTAATATCTCCGATTCCTCAATCCAAGCCGATATATATATATATATATATATATATATATATATATATATATATATATATATATATGAACAGGTGGTTAGAGTGGTCAGAAGGTTCGCTTTCTGACCATGAGACCCGGGTTCGAATCTCACCATGATCAATTTATCAGGAAGGTAAGTTCTTGATGTTATCGGCCTAGAGGAGGCGATCCTCGCGTGCGACACCCTTGGAATGTGCATGGAAATCATACCATTTGGGTAGACGGAACTATGGCTGTGCTAGCACGAAGTCACAAGTCATCGTGACCGAGGCTTTGAGCGTGCTGGCCTTGTTCAGATTCTTCATCACGCTAGATAATATGCTTCTCTCCCAGAAACTGTAACGAAGGTCTGCTCAGTATAGTTGCAGGGTTGAACAAAACACAAAATGCGCCTGACCAAGCGTCTACAATAGGGATTAGATACCCTCCCCAGTATACGGTTATCCTTGAATACGACAGGTCAGCCATTAATGTAGTAATTCATCGAGTCTGATAGAAATCTCAACAGAATGCAGAAAGCACTGGACGGCCGTTTCGTCCTATATTTGGGACTCATCAGCAGTGCGCATCCACTACCGAGAATTGACTACTCATGTACATCATTGCTTGAACCGGCTTCTAATGCTCTAGAGTGAGCGGCTTGGTGAGAGTAGTACTGGCTCCAGGGGGCACAGTCCTATGGTTAGAGAGAACTCAGTAGACTCACTGATGAGTCCCAAATGTAGGACGAAACGGCCGTCCAGTGCATTCTGCATTCTGCTGAGATTTCTATCAGACTCGATGAATTACTTAAATATATATATATATATATATATATATATATATATACACTAATAAATTAAAACTTATCCTCTGATGGGCTTTATCAAAGCTAATCTACCTTGATAAAGACCATCAAAGGACGACGAAATGAAAATTTTTCTTTTGTCTTTATTCATATTGTCCTTTTACAAATATATTTTTCGTTATATCTGAAATTTTCCAGACACAAAGGCATATGTGTATTTGTGTGTGTGTCTACGCGCGTGTTATGGAAGCTATAAGAGAGATATACTAAAAAAAATATATAGAAACTATTTTAGATTTGGTATTGGCTAACCTGCTCACAAATACCCTTTGGAAAGGGTATTTGTGAGCATGTGTTTTCCTTTTCTATCTCCATCTATCTCTTTGCGTGTAACGGGAAACCACTTAGCGATTATTGAGAAACCACCCTTGCAAACTTTTTTTTCCCAATAAATGATGACTATGAAGCTGTGGAGACTCATGACCGACTTTGTCCTCAAAATGACACGATATCGCAAATCTATATACAGATTACGAATCATCAGAGGCTACACAATTCAAAAACGTGGAACTATTTCTACTATATATCACAAAAAATCAAAGCAGTTTCCAGGGCCGCCCCGTTATCGGCTAATGTTTAGAGAGGCTTGACTTGTTGATCGTGAGTAGTGAGTTCGATCCTTAATGGGCGCTCGTCCCAAAATTCGATATTAAACAAGCCTAAAAGGGTTGAAGCAGGAAAAACAAATCAGCCATTACTTTACATGTAATAAAGAAACGAAATATGTTTTTTTATTGATTCGTTTTCTACGGCTTATCAACATTTTGCCGATAATTTAAAGTCAGAAGATATTTTTAGGATTAACGAAGGGGGGAGATAATAATGATATCTGGGGAGAGGGAGAAGAGGCACATTCAAACCTTCCCCCTCTCCCAAAGGATTTTGCGCGGAAGTGCATATAACGAACCCTGCTGGAATTGGAACTCAGCTCTCCGATTAACAATTTAGAGGCATTATTTATTACACCACCCGCAGATACAAGCTTACAGCACCTGTTATTCCCAAGCGATCTCCCATCTAGGAACTGACCAGGCTCAAAGTTGCTTACCTTCCGTGATCGCATGGGAACTGGTGGTTAAACCTGATATGGCCATAAGCCTACAGAACATCTGAAAGGCTATGATCGCTTACGTTCTGTAAATATTAGGTTGGTGCAAAAATAATGACGTAATAATGTCGTTTTTTGACGTTAAAAAATACGTCACAAAACGACATTATTACGTCATTATTTTTGCACCAACCTAATAATTATATGACATTTTTAAAAAATGGCTAGCGTGTTCACTGTGCCGACAAATCTATCCACATGCTTTGTGTCAGATGAAATTAATCTATGTTTTTCTGTGTGTTTGTGTATCTAGAAAAAAAAGGATGTCTGCGTATTGGGTTGGTGCATAATTATCAGGCTTTTTTTTTTTTTAAACAATATTTCTTATTAAAAATGGAACATAACAATTCAACAATAACATTTTTAAATGATTATTCCGCAGCGTATGATTATCGACACGCATTTTTATTACGTGAATATAAAATACTGTTTTTATTTAAAAAAAAAAAAAAAACAAAACAGCAAATTATATTAACAAATAACTCGCCTACAAAAACGCCTGATAATTACGCACCAACCCAATATTTAAGACTGCTTGCTTCTGGACTATATCCCCATAGATGAAGAAGAGACTTGAAACAAACAGAAATGTGGTTCTATAAAAGAATGCTGAGAATACCATAGTCTGAACGTGTTGAGCAACAAAGTTTAAGAGAAAATTGGAAGCAAAAAGAACACACTTATGTAGAATAACAATAATAAACAGCACTTACCGGTGTAAAGGTCCCAGCTAGCGTCCAGCTGGCAGACAAAAATAAAGCAGGTTGTAACTTAATACAAACCCTGCAAACTAACAGATGAATCAAGCTGGTATTTATATAGAAATACCTCCACTCAGGTACCAGCAGCCAATCACAGCCCAAGCAATGGACTATCCCACTTTAGCACAATGAGATGCTCTATGGCAACATAAATAGCTCTCTTTCTGAAGGTTGGATTATTGTTCACTTAGCTTGCTCCACAACTAAGTGTTTATCTCTACCACGTGATTTTTCTACAACTTATATTTAACATCAGAAAGAGACAGTTGAAATTTATAGCATACATAACGAGGAAGGAAGGTTTGGAAAATTTGACACTCACAGGATAGATTGAAGATAAGAGGGACAGAGGAAATTAGCGAATAACCTACCCAAAGAGATTGTATAAATGGTTAGCAAAGTGGTTCCCAAACGGTAGAGTTCGGTTTCAAAAATTGTATATGCCAAATATAAATATGATTTCAAAATTTAAAATATTATTATGGATGATTTGTAATTGCATGCATGAGTCCCAGTATAAATAGTTATAAATAATTATAGACCGATTCTATCATTGCGATATTTTTGCATTATATCAAGTATTAAGAATATAGTAACTAGAGTCCGCAAATTGCAGGAGAGAGTTATCAATGATAATGTTCTGACTTCGAATCTGTGGTTATCTCCCCTGAACCCTCTCTCTCTGTTTTTTTTTGTGGTTTTTTAATTTATTTTTAAATGTATTTTTATCATATGAAATTTGGTGAGACGTGAGCCAATTTTCATTCCGAAAATTCCTCCCAGAGAAAAAAAAGTTTTGGAAACACTGGGTTAGCAAAAAATGATTAGCAAGAGGAAATTGTGAAGAGCCTAAATCGCCAACGTCATTAATGGATATGGCACATAAAAAAATCAGAAGCAGAAGCCGAAGAAGAAGCTGAAAAAGAAGATGATGAATTGGAACGGAAGAAGAAGCTGCAGAAGAAGAAGAAGAAGAAGAAGGAGAAGGAGAAGAAGCTGAAGGAGAAAAAAGAGAAGAGGGTGGAAGCTGAAGAAGAAGAAGAAGAAGAAGAAGAAGAAGAAGAAGAAGCTGAAAAAGAAGCTGAAAAAGAAGCTGAAAATTAAGAAAAGAGACGAAAAAGAAGTAAAAGAAAAATCTTAAGCTAAAGAAGAAGAAGAAGAAGAAGCTGAAAAAGAAGCTGAAAAAGAAGAAGGAGACGAAAAAGAAGTAAAAGAAAAATCTTAAGCTAAGTCAGAAGAAGAAGAAGAAGAAGAAGCTGAAAAAGAAGGAGACGAAAAAGAAATAAAAGAAAATTCATAAGCTAAAGAAGAAGAAGAAGAAGCTGAAAAAGAAGCTGAAAAAGAAGGAGACGAAAAAGAAGTAAAAGAAAAATCTTAAGCTAAGTCAGAAGAAGAAGAAGAAGAAGAAGAAGAAGCTGAAAAAGAAGGAGACGAAAAAGAAATAAAAGAAAATTCATAAGCTAAAGAAGAAGAAGAAGAAGAAGCTGAAAAAGAAGCTGAAGATGAAGAAAGAGACAAAAAAGAAGTAAAAGAAAATTCTAAATCTGACGAAGAAGAAGAAAAAGATGATGAAGAAGAGACGAAGCTGAAGATGCTTTTGATGATCGGCTAATTCTCTGTAGATAAACCTCTTTCCTAAGCGTCAATAACAAAAGTGAACTGTACACGCTCTATACGATAACTTTGCTTTGAGCGCATTTACGCGTAAAAGGTTTAGACCAAAGTACGATCTGGTGTGGGCGATGGCGCACAATGTGATGTGCATATATTTGCTGCGATCATTATTTTTCGAGTCGTAGATATTTCGGGCCCGCAGGGGTTGAGTAAAGTAACTTGGAAAAAAATAAGTTATCAGATGCTAACAAGGGCTAAGTAGGAGAGACAAAGAGAAAAAATGCTGGCGTAGTACAAAGAAAAAAAATACGAAATTCACAAAATATGCATTTTTTTAATGGATATATATATATATATATATATATATATATATATATATATATATATATATATATATATATATATATATTTATGTAGATATAGGCACAAACACTCAATCAGAACATATATGTCCCTCTCTTTATCTCTCTAGATACACACACACGTATATATATATATATATATATATATATATATATATATATATATATATATATATATATATATAGGTCGTGCGTGTGTGTGTGCGTGTACGTATGGGCAAAGGAGATATATTTTAGGCAAATCGCTGTGACAAAATCATGCAAAACTTTTACCACTTTGTTATAGATTTCCCTAATATATATGTGTGTGTGTGCGAGTGCGTGTTATGAAAATAGTTATTCTATATTTAAAGGTTAAAAATTCAAAACACATTTTAAAATACTGATTGTCGCTGAATAGTAGTGACCTTTATTATTAGTAAATATAGTTTTTACTTAATAACAGTATCACCTAACCGTACAATTTTTTAAAAGTATGAAAATAATTCTGTAGAGAGTAATTATTCATCGAACATTTTTTTTATTTAGACAATAGTTTTCATAATATATCTTATCCATAAAAGCAATTTTTTTAAAATTAAATACAGTGTTGTTCGATAAAAGTGACTCACCTGATTTTTTTTACTAAATGTTCTCTTCTCCGATGAAACGAATGTTGAGCTAAATTCAAAGGATAAGCGATCTAAAATCCGAATAAGCTTTGAAAGCTCTTTGAATTTAGCAGTAAATACTGTCAAGCATCCATTCAGTATAATGTTCTGGGGATGCTTTTCTTTTCATGGAACCCGTTTCTTAAAACCTATTGAAAAGACTCTCAGGAGCGAGCAGTACAAGAGAATTTTAGAGTCTTGTCTGCTCCCTTCTGCTGAAAGGGTGAAAATCGACCCCACCAAGCTCATTTTTATGCAGGATAATGCTCCCTGTCACAAATCAAAATTGATGAAGAAATACTTTGATGAGAAGCAGGTGAGTGTTATGACATGGCCTCCCCAATCTCCTGACCTCAACCCCATAGAAAACTTATGGAGCATTATAAAGTACAGGCCCTCGAGAAAGCAGTTGAGCAACATGCTCCATAAGTTTTCTATGGGGTTGAGGTCAGGAGATTAAATTTCATTTTCATCATGTATGCTTAATTTTTAGCGAATCTTAGCAATGCGAGACATTGTTCAAGCAGACCAAGAAGACCTCTGCTCACTAAGAAATCAATTATTTTTAAGCTTTGCATGTGATTAAGAACTTTCTAAAACCCTCTCGGCTCAATCATACATTCTCTAATCTGCCTAAACGACCAAATACCAACAGAATCTTCCTAGCCTCTTAGCAGTCTGTACATTCGCTCACTTGTAAAATATTTACACTACCTCTACAGCATAAATACTTATTTTCCTGTGATATATATCCTTCAAAATAAATGACACCATATCAATTAATTTTCTGTTAATATTTATGCATCATTGATCAAATTCCCTATACGTTTTAGCACAGGTTTGTGCATATACGTATGCATTGGATTTTATATGCGCATGTGCATCTGCAAGGTTCAAAGGCGCATGCGTACACGCAAGCAGAAATAATCACAAAATCATATTTGGCCTCCGTTTTCTTTCTTTCAACATCTTTTTCTCTTTTTCGCGCACTTGTGAATTTTATCATGCCCAGTCCATTTTCTTGGTAAATAATATTTGGGAAAGGATGTATCACATGCTAATCTAACAGCTGAAAAGGCCCTCTTTTATAGATACTCGTAAAAGAAAAAATTATTTTTATATTAGAACGAAGAATGGACGAGACTGTACAATGTTTTTTTTTTATAGGTGACACTAAATTTACTTCCTTGAATTTCTATAAAATGATATAGCCCTGAACGTGTGATCCAACAAAGTTAGGATCAGATCGCTGACATGCCCCTACTTGAGAGTGGCGGTTAGCACTCTCATCTCCTAAAGTAATTGTCGGGCTTAGTGAGTTCAATCCTTACGCCTTGAATCAAACTATGTTACTTAAAAAAAAAAAAACTCTTTAATGAGTGATATAGCTCCATATTTCCCAGAGACACCATTGGTCAAATAAAGATTTTTTTAAATTCCAAGATATCAAGCGCTGATTCTTAAGGACTTCATTTTGCCTTCATTCCTTACTAAGCTAACTTTAATAACTATAAGCCTTGGCATCTTAATATGGTGGCAGCAAAGTCGCCTCGCAGACCAGTTCACAACTTGACAGTAAAATGCAGTTGTGTGTGCTTGTGTATAATATTATCTTTGTATTCATAATGATGCCTCGCAAAGACGTCAGGAAAATCATCGCCACACTAAAGTCTCTCAACTCCCCTATAATCCACATTAGGCTTTCTTTCGAACTAATTTTACCTCCTTAATATCAAACAACACCTCTGCAGTCCGGCTTTAGCCCTTTTTTTTTATTTCTAACTTATCTTAAAATTAACATCACCTCCATAAAGGTACTAACTTTATACAGTGCAGATTTGACCCTTTATTTTATCTGGCCTTTCCCAAAACTAACATCAACTCCCTAAAGCCTCTCATCTCCCACAGAGTCCAAATTTAACAAATTTTCACAAAACTAACATCCCCTCCCTAAAGATTCTCAACTCCAATACAGTCCTGATTTAGCTCACTGATTTGTCTATTTTTTCCAAAAAATAATTTCACATCCCTAAAGTCTCGCAGCACACCTAGAGTCCAGATATGGTTTCCTGCTTTTTATGGATTTTCCCAAAACTAACATCACCTCCCTAAGGCCTCTCAGCTCCCATACAGTCCTGATTTAACTCTCTGCTTTTTCTGTTTTTTTTTTTCAAAAATAACTTCACATCCCTAAGCTCTCGCTGCACATCTAGAGTCCATATATGGTTCCCTGCTTTTTATGGATTTTCCCAAAACTAACATCAATACCCTAATGTCTCTCAGCTCTTCTACAGTCCCGATTTAGGTCCCTGGCTTTCCCTAAAACTAACTTAGTCTCCCTAAAGTTTCTTAGCTCCCATAGCGTCTAGATTTTGCTCCAAACCTTTTATGGTTTTTACTAAAACTAACATCACCTTCTTAAAGTCACTCAACTCCAACAGCGTCCAGATTTGGAATCCTGATATTTCTGGCTTTTTCCCAAAACTATCATCACTTCCCTAAAGTCTCCTATTCACCCACTGTTCAGATTTAGCTCCCTACTTTTTCTGGCTTTTCCCAAAGCTAACAACGACTCCCTGAAGTCTCTCAGTTCCACTACAGTCCAAATTTGTCTCCTTGGTATTTCTGTTTTCCCCCACATTACAATTTCTTTTGAAATTCGTTGGAGGAGCTTAAAGATAAGATGTTCAATCATCCGATAGCGATTTAGAAAGTCGATTTTGAAAACTGTTTTTGGAAATGGAAGAAACTCTATGATAAATGTCTGAGATTCTTAGAGTAGTATTAATTGGCCTTGTTTTTTGTTTGTTTTGTTTGCTAAATACAAACCGTTACGTGATTTTCTATTTTTTTTTTTTTAAGCATTTCACCCCAAGCAAGGCGGGAAGCCACTAGGACGCCAGGGATTACAGAAAATAGCAAAATCAGGAGTGATAGAAGAAAGAATGAAGGTAGTGGATAGATTAAGGCAACTGGAGATGTCGATTGACATTACACTTGAATAGCTGGAGATTATAGCTCACAGGGAAACAGGAGAAGGGAAGGGAGTTCCACAGGTGAGAGGTGCGAGACATGAAGCTATTAGAGTAGAAGAGACGGCTACATTTAGGAGTTTCGACAGTGAAGGGGTGAGAGCGGGATGCCAGCCTCGTAGGGCGCTGGAACTCATGACGTCTGGGAACCAGCGAATATTGATTCCATATTCTGTAAAACTGAGGCATTGAATTTGTCTATATTTCTGAGATGAGGTATTATGTACACTATTTACATTATTCGGACTATTGTCCTCTTCTTTGTTGCTATATTTATCACAACGTTTCGGCCATTGTACGCTCCGACCTTCTTCAAGGACACATGACACAGTGGATAAAAGGCGTTGGTTAGCTCCAGTGACAGAACCCAAAGTGTGTGAGTTCAATACCTGGTTAAGGCGTTGGAGAACTTGGAGAGGGGAATTAACAGGAGATAACTGATAACTGACATCCATTAGACATGGCACGTGGAACTAGAACAGTCTACCTCATTGAGCGAAAGAAAGGGTTCAGTTCGACATTCCAACCACCTGAAGAAGGCCGGAGCGTACAACAGTTGAAACGTTGTGATAAATATGGCAACACAGATGAAGGCAATAGTCCGAATAATGTAAACAAGTGAGGCATTGATATATATATACTCTACAAAATCATGGAACTCATGACCTTGTGCCAATCCTCAGTCAATTCAATAACGCAATCTGACGTAAGGAAAGTATTTTTGGTTACATTGTAGTGGCCAAATAATTAATTCTTATTATCTCCGAGGGCTTGCTGCAAAGTTCTCGGCCCGACCAGAAATCTAGCCAAATAACCAAACATCAGGAAGGGTTTATTTTCGGGAACGAGAACTTTTCAGTACTCCTTCCCTTAGAAAGCCTGGATTCTTAATGGGGTTTCTTTTTTATTGCGGAAAAATACTTTGTCTCTGTGCTTAGGCTATAAACTCTGAACTTCTTGTCTATAGCAGTAACTACTGAACTAACGTTAAACAAGTATTGAATCCGACATATTCGTATGCAAGAATGTCTACTTATTTTCTTCGTTTTTTTTTTTACACATGTTTGTCCAAGCATTGATGTTTGATTACTTGTATACGCGTTTTTCTTCCCCCCACTCTTCTTTTTATCCGTGTTTTATGGTTGAAAGGTCAGAGGCGAAAATTGTCCTTTATGCTTGTTGATGTGTGGACGAACTTGGACAATATTGCCCACTAAGCAATATACGATTCGTTTTGCATAGAAAGAAACGTTTTAAGTGAAGATATAAGTGGGAGCGTTGTTGGGCAATTATGGTTCAGAGAAAGCGAGCGTTGCCTATTGGGATTTTGTGTGTAGGTCGCTGTTAGGGTAAAATAGGGCAAGAAATCGAGGAAAAAAAAGGGACAGATAGAAAGGGGGAAAGGAAAAAAGGAATAATTAAAGGAAAGACAAGAAAATACGATGAAGACGAGAAAGTAGAGATGAAAGAGAAATATTAGAATACGGGGATGAGGGGAGCAAGAGAAGTCAGAGTAACCCGAGGAGGAACAGAGATAAAAAGAAAGACAGAAAAATGTGGAGAAGAAATCATATACAAAATAAGAATACGCGGAAGAGAGAAGACTAGAAACCGAAGAGAGACACAAGAAAAAGGAAGGAGAGAAACAAGAATATAAAAAAGACGCGGAAAAAGAGAGACTAGAGATTAAAGAGAGACAGGAAAATGAAGAAAAGCAACCAGGGGTAAAATAAGAATATAAAAAAGATGAGGAAGAAGAGAGACTAGAAATAAAAGAGAGACGGGGAAAGATGGACTAGAAATCCTATATAAAATAAGAATACGCTGAGGGGAGGAGATTAGAGATCGAAGAGAGACATAAAAAGGAAGGAGAGAAACAAGAATATAAAAAGACGTGGAAAAAGAGAGACTAGAGATTAAAGAGAGACAAGAAATTGTGGAAGATAAAAGAGATATAAAATAAAATAAGAAAACAGGCGGAAGAAGAGAGACTAGAGATAAAAGAGAGACTTAAGAAGGAGGAAGATAAACTAGATATAAGACAAAAATATAAAAATACCTGGAGGAGGAGAGACTAGATATAAAATAGAGACATAAAACATAGTAACATAAACTACAAAATGGTCCGAAAGCCTTGTCACCCCAAAATAGTATTTTTTATTTATTTCAGATGGCTGATGATTTTCATACAGACCTTCTCGATGTGGGACAACGTCAATGAAAGTGAATAAACTGAATCCAGTACCTGTGCTTTTTATTGTTGTACTAGCAGCATGGTCCGGCGTTGCCCGTGCTTGATTCAAAAATCGTACGACTCATACAGCAATCGCTATCACTTGACTTAAAATATTTTTGCCCTTCCTTGCCTTTAAAGGACTCTCTTTGCCGTGCTGATGTTGCTACATGCCTTACTTCTTGCCTATCTCACACTGCGAATTTTTTCTAAGCTCTATACTAAACATTAAATCTGTTACGAAAAAAGAACTAAACAAAATTGAACACAAAACGATCAACTTTAAAAAGGACTCGTAACTGGAAAAACCGAATGAAAAAAAGAATGTTAACAACAAATACTTTTTCACACCCAACCCAGTTCTGCGAAATCAGAATCAACGTTGAGTTTAAGCAAGCGAATGAGCCAACTGGAGTAAAGTGCCATGCAGATTTAAATTTTTCCCACTTGTGATGAATGCAGCTATCGATTTTTTTTTTTTTTTTTTGCATTCGTGTCAGTCAGCTGTTGGCTCTCACGCTGGCCAATAGAATCTTCCTGCCTATTCGTGGCAGCCAGCTATAGGCTCTCACTCGGGCCAGTACAAAATGGCCGCAAACTACATGAAAATTGCCGTAGAAGCAAGAAAAAATCGATTATTTCTACTATCGATGGGAGTTGGGAAATGCAAAGTTAGTCTTGGCCTTTCCACTAACTTGGAGCATGTGCGTGTAAATTTTGGTGCAAATCAGTCGAAAATTGCGGCTGTGCATTCGTTACACACAAACATCCTGCCTTTTATAGATAGAGATTACTTGTTCTATAGTTCTAATTACTTTTTCTTATGGGGTGACAAGACTTTCAGACCACTCTGTAGATATAAAATCAAAATAGGAAAACACGCCGAAGAAGAGAGACTGGAGATAGAAGCTAGAGATGAAAAGGTAGAAGATAAACTAGATATAAAATAAGAATATAAAAATACCGCGAAAGAGAGAAGCCATAGAGCGAGAAGAGAGACATAAATACGGGGTAGAGAAACCAGGTGTAAAACAAGAATATAAAAAAGACGAGGAAGAAGGGAGACGAGAGATAAAAGATAATTCAATTAACCCTGCATGAATCACATGGGTTGTTTTCTTACCCGCCAATTTAAAATGTAAGCTTCAGTACACTTGCTTCCCTCTGCCTTTTCTATAAATACTTTCATGGTAATTGTTCAAATGAACTCTTCGTTATGGTAAGTTTATGAAATTAATCGCAGGACGAGATTAACAACAAGGTTTCATCAATTTATGGTTGAATTGGGGAGATGTAACCGTAAGTCTTATGCTAACAGCTTCTTTTCTAGCCCTATTCATTTGTGGAACTCTCTTCCTCTTCCGGCTTAATGCTTTCAGGCCAACATTAACCTTCAAAAATTTACATGCAAGGCCAATCTTCTGTCTTCCTGATTACTTTTTTATATTTTCTAATTTTTTTTTACACTCGGTAATTCTTTGTGTCTTAGTGGCTTCATTGCCTTGTTTGAGGTGAATTTGATAATAAATAAATCGTAATTCCTTTTTGGCAACTTGTTTCTTTTGGTCCCTCCCACTACTATCCTGGATCAATGAGGGTGTGTAGCACACGGTGTGGCCCAGTTGCCGTGGGTGACAGACGTCACCCTACCTGACCAACGAAGATAAGTTTTCATGATATATATATATATATATATATATATATATATATATATATATATATATATATATAGTGCTGTTCGATAAAAGTGACTCACTGCGTGTTATGAAAATATAGTTTTAAGTTATTCTATATTTAAAGGTTAAAAATTCAAAACACATTTTAAAATACTGATTGTCGCTGAATAGTAGTGACCTTTATGATTAGTAAATATAGTTTTTACTTAATCACCTAACCGTACAATTTTTTAAAAGAATGAAAATAATTCTTGTAATGAGTAATTATTCATCGAACATTTTTTTATTAAGACAATAGTTTTCATAATATATCTTATCCATAAAAGCAATTAAAAACTTTTTTTAATTAAATACAGTGTTGTTCGATAAAAGTGACTCACCTGATTTTTTTATTAAATGTTCTCTTATCCGATGAAACGAAAGTTGAGCTAAATTCAAAGGATAAGCGATCTAAATTCCGAAGAAGTAGCTTTGAAAGCTCTGTAAATTTAGCAGTAAACACTGTCAAGCATCCATTCAGTATAATGTTCTGGGATGCTTTTCTTTTCATGGAACTAGTTTCTTGAAACCTATTGAAAAGACTCTCAGGAGCGAGCAGTACAAGACAATATTAGAGTCTTGTCTGCTCCCTTCTGCTGAAAGGGTGCAAATCGACCCCACCAAGCTCATTTTTATGCAGGATAATGCTCCCTGTCACAAATCAAAATTGATGAAGAAATACTTTGATGAGAAGCAGGTGAGTGTTATGACATGGCCTCCCCAATCTCCTGACCTCAACCCCATAGAAAACTTATGGAGCATTATAAAGTACAGGCTCTCGAGAAAGCAGTTGAGCAACATGCTCCATAAGTTTTTTGAACACGAGAAAACACTAAAAACAGATGAGAGACATAAATAGCACGAGAAAGAGCAGAGAGACTATCTGGATTCTACATACTTGAGGCCTTGTGCCCCATCTATTCTACGCTAAGTATCCCTGTCATAATCCTTAAGAACTGTACTCCTGTTCTCTTTAAACTCTACAATAAATGCTGTGCTGTTTCTTGCTTTCCTGCTTATTGGAAATCCTCTTTTGTAGTTCCAGTCTTAAAGAACTCAGGCGAGCTATCCAATTCTTGTAACTATCGGTTTATTGGCTTTCTATCTCTTTTTTGGAAAGTAACTAGAGGTTCTAATTACATCTGAATTGGTTAAGCATCTCAGATCGCAGGATCTTCTCTCAGATAAACAATATGACTTACGCTTCTCTAGATCAACAGCTGATGTGTTAGAAATTATTTCTGCAAGAGTCTATCAAGCTTTAGATAAAAATGGTGAAGCTGGAACTGCAGTGTTAGATATTTCAAAGGCATTTGACAGGGTTTGCCATACTGGTCTTCTTCACAAGTTGAAATACTACGGTATTTTTTAACTGATGCAGTCTTTTTTATCAAATAGCGAAATGAAGGTTGTCTTGAATGGCTACTCTTCTAGATCTTTTTTTTTTTTTTGCATAAATGCGGTTGTTTTGCAGGGTTCTATCCTTGGGCCCTATGTTGTTTCTAATTTTCATAAATGACCTTCCTGATGTCATCAGTTCTCAATTCGGTATCTATGCTGATGACACACCTGTCTGATAGGATCGATAAGATCAAATTGGCAGCTGATCTAAAAAAAATGACCTACACTCTGGATAAGGACGTGATTGTTAATTTTAACGCCTCAAAAACAAAACTGCTCACTTTTAATCATCCGAAAGAACCTTTTTTTTACCTTCCATCAGAATGTTAGTGACTCATTGCAACTTCTCAGACTAATGTTTTCAGCTGACATGAAGTGGAAAGAGTATATTGAAGCAATTGATAAGTCTGCAGCTAAGAAAATTGGTTGACTATGTTGTGATACTATGTCTGTAAAACAAAAACATGCTGATGATACAACTATTTGAAATTGTCTTAATAGTAAATCTGATTGGTTTGATAATGTCAAATCGGAAAAATGACCTACAATCTGTTGAGAAATTGGGCAAAGAATGGTGTGTTGCTTTTAATAAATCAAAAAGAACACTGTTTTTTCTTAATCATCTGAGAGAACCCTTTTTACTTTCCATCAACATGGCTGATGCTAACCTCCATGACAGTGACTTATTGCGCCTTCTCAGACTAATGTTTTCAGCTGACATGAAGTGGAAAGATTATATAGAATCAATTGCTAAAAAAAATTGGTTGACTATTTTGTGCTATAACATTTTTCTCGCCAAAATCAATCTTACATATTTATAAGTATACCATTCGTCTTTGCTTTGAATTTTGCGGCCACATTTTCCCCTGCTATATATTTAGAAATTCTTTGGGCACCTCGAGGCGGTTAGCAAGCTTGTCTCGCTAGAACAATTACGACTGGTTGTCCCCTACCTTCGGCCTTGTGCCACATCAAATCTACGCTTGGAAAATCTCTATATTTAGAAATTCTTGATAAAATACCTGCAATATTAGTCCTATCCTGTCGTCTCGGTTTCAATCCTTTTCCTGGCGTCGCAACGTAGCTTCCCATGCCATAAGATTATAATTTGTTTGAAAGATTTACTTCTTGGAACACTTGGCAAAGAATGTTGATCATTCTTATCCCAATTACGAATAACTATGTCATCAGCAGACCATCCCGACGACCTTCATTATCGGTACACTGGCCTTTGAGAGGGGTGGGGGGATTTAGAAAGACATCAGTTCTCAACTCGGTGTCTATGATGATGACACAAATAGTTACTTCCTTGTTAATAATATATGTTATCGCTTCCATAAGGTAGAATTGGCAGTTGACTTAAAATCTGTTGTTAAATGGGGAAAGAAATGGCTTGTTAATTTTAACGCCTCAAAAACGAAACTTTTAACCATATAAGAGAAATCGTTTTACATTCCATCAACAAAGCTGAGGCTAACCTCCAGGAGTTGGACACATTGCGCCTTCTCAGACTAATATTTTCAGCTGACATGAAGTAGAAAGATTATATTGAAACAAAAAAGAAAACATTCTGTTCAATACAGCAAACGAACATTTGAACACCTTGCCGAATGCGTTCAAATCTAGCCTTAGATAAAATTAGTAATCCTACAGGAACTTAAAGTTTTTTTTATGGAACACAAATTTTCAGATCTTTTAACCATATTTCACCACCAGCCATTTTGTTTATACCTCATGTTTTGATTGATTATTTCGTTTTTACGGCTTATGAATCCGTTGCAGATTATTTAAAACTAGAAAATGTAGACTGCGAGATTTTTGTGGGGTTGGGGGGGGTTAATAATGGTTTAATGTTAAATGTCTTATTAATTAACCCATAACTGGGGTGTAAAGAAGCGGTGGATTAATACCTTTTCCAAGGTTATTTTGCGCTAAAGTAAATATAACGGAAATCGGAACGCGGCCATTGAATTCCAAGCCATTATTTATTGCACCACCTACACATCCACGCATACAACACCAGGTATTCCCAAACAGTCATCCATCTTGATACAGATCAGGCTCTGGTAATCAAACTGGTGTTTCAACGTGATGTGCCAAGTAAGCCGTTTATACCCGAGTCCGTGTATATAATAGAAATAGTCAACCAAACCCCATAGTAGCAGCTAGAATTCGCCAGATTAGAACAAGTAAAGGACCGGTAAAAGGACTCTCTTTCTAGATGATTGGAATATTAGACTTTTGGGGCGATTTCTGATATGTCTCCGCCGATATAAATTAAGTGGAGCCAACACAAATTACAGGTGAACTGATTAGTATTCACTCTCTATAAAAAAAAATATATATACTTTATAAAGAAAATAACGACAAAGTAGTTACACATACTTATGAATCTTTGAAAACCTCTTTTCCTATAACTTCTTTTGGAAAGGTTTGGTTTGGTTTGTTTTACGGCATATCCACCAGAATGGGTTATTTAATGCCGACAAAATTTTTATAGCTGCTAATATTTTGTTTTGTCAAAAATCTATTTCTGGTCATATTTTTCCTTCAAAAATATATTGCAGGTAATAATTTTTTATTTTTTTTTAAATATTGCTGGTAATATTTTTTTCTCAAAAATGTATAGCTGTTAATATTTTTTTTTTTCAAAAATGTATTGCTAGTAATATTTAGTTTTTAAAAATATTGTCGGTAATATTTTTCAAAAATGTATTGCTGGTAATAGTTTTTTTTCTCCATATATTTATTGCTGGAAATAATATTTAACAAAGTATTTCTCGTATTAAAACCTATATTTACACTTTCATAGTGTTTTGACCTCACTTTCGGGGTTAACTATTTGCTCATAGCTGGGGCCCTAACAGGTGCTACCACCCGGGTCAG